AGACTAAACAGATCAGCAAGATAAATGCAACTGAGGCATTAGTCATGAGCAGATATCTATCATTGCTTTAAGATTTAGCTCAAGAGAAATCAACAGGACATTTTTTTTTTTTTTTTTTGTGAGCCTCGTTAACGCTTTAGAGTTATCTAAAGCCTAAAAAAAAAATCTGATGTGTCTACTCACACGACTTTCCTACCGATTTCAAAAAAGTTTTTATGTCTTTAAATATGTCCTTCAAAAAACAAACAAACAAATTTAATTAGATTTATTTTTCTGAAAATTAATCTACGTTTGGCCGTTTTTAATTAATCCGATGGTTTGGCCATGTCTCTCCAAGCATAGAGAATCGAATGGCCAGGATAGTGTTGGAAAGTAAAGTTGAGGGAAGAAGACCTCAGGGATGGCCAAGGAGAACCTGGGAGGTCAGGGTCAAGAAGGCCTTTGACAGAAGGGATATTGACTGGAGGAGGAGGCGGCAGTTGGCTCAGGATCGAGAGTTGTGGTAGAAGAGGAAACGATTAAGAAGAAGAAGAAGAAAATTGGTCAAAGAGAATATTTGATTATGATTTATTTGATAAACTAAAGCAATGAATGTAAACTGGATGAATGGAAGCTCAGCGTACAAATGCAATACACTATAACATTGTTAATCAAAAAATTTTTTGCATTAGCCAGATTTTGTCTGACAATAATGTCTGCTAAAACTAGAGGAAAAGTGAAACTTGTGTGATGTCGGTATCAGGTATTCTTTTTTAGTTCACTTAATATTTTTCTTTTTTCTCACTCTTTCGCCCCTTTCTGGTACCAGGATTTGAACTCTTGCCGGAAATTAAAGGTTTTTATATAATTTTTACGTTATTTAGTGCATGTACGAAAATTGAATGGACATTTGCTTTCATCGAAATCTTTAGAGACATTTTTGCGCTACAGTCAATAGAAAAATATGTTTTTAATTTATTTTCCTCAGGGAGCACCCAATTCGTATCACAGGCAAAACCTTAAAAAATAAAAAAAGAAGCAACAAAATCGGTCTACTAATTCCCGAGATAATCTTGGCACAGACAAACAGACCAATGGCTGAAAATGTGTTTTTCTGACACGGAGGGCTCTGAAACGTAAAGATCTGTCGAAAACCGCACATCGGAAATTTGATTCGATCGCAATACTTTTCTTACCTAGTATAGATCGGAAAGCAAAAAAGCATTACCATGAAATTTCCAGGGAAAACTTATTTAACATATTTGTTAATTGCGATAGTCAATCAATGTTATAATCAATAAATGTAAAATTTCAAATAAATAATCGTTTGAAACTTCCAATGACGATATAATTCTAGTCAAAGAAAATTAAAAAAATAAATTGAACATTGAACAGGTAGAGAACCTATTAAGATTGTTCATAGTTCTGTTAGTTTTCGATGCTATTTTTACCGTTAATTATTGATCTTATTCAACAATATTAAAGTGTTAAAGGTAAAAATCGATTAAAGAAGACGAAATATCAATGGCATCGTAATAACCACGGCAATTAAACAGAGAAATAAAGCAGTCAGAGAAGACAATTATGCAGTAATTAACACTGTTAATAACTACTGGTATGAAGATGCCCTTGAAGGATCTGGTAATTTAGCTGTGGATTCGAATTCGGTGTTCTGGAACGTCCGAAAGTTTCACTGTGGAACAAAACTGAATGAAATGCTTTTAAAAAATGATTGTTATTAATAATTGTGTAACGAAAAAAAAAAATCTGGTGTGTCCACTCACACGACTTTCCTACCTATTTCAGAAAAGTTTTTATATCTTTACATATGTTCATGAAGAAACAAAAAAAAAAATTAATTAGATTTATTTTCCTGAAAATTGATCAAAGAAAAGATATGAGTACGATTTATTTGATAAACTAAAGCAATGTAAACCGGCTTAAGGTAGATCAGTGTAAAAATTTCAATATTCTCTAAAATTGCTGATCAAACTTTTTACCATAGCTTAACTTTGTCAAACAAAGCGAATCATGTTTTTCTGCCGCTAATTCGAAACGAAAGGCCGGATGGTAATGAAATGTATATAAAAAACACTCCTGAAAATGATTCCAGCGTCGTATCAAAATTTCAAAGCAATCGGTGAAGAATTTTCGGACATTAGCCGATATGAAAAAATTAACATTTATATTCTTATTTATATAAACTATTTCCAATTTTTATTTATTGATAACACTAAACCTCGTCAATAACTACTAAACAAAAAAAGAAAATCGGCCAAAAAAGAAGAAAAAGGAACTGAATTGTTTTCCTTTGCTTATTTATATATTATCTAGGAAATCATGATTTTTAATTTTTTTAGAGCCCTATTTCAGACACAGAACTCTTAAAATTCTATGTGTTATATTGTATGTTATTGAATCAAATCAAATATTAAATAATCTATATGTTTTTCAACGGAAAAAATATTCTCAAATTAAAAAACCTGCTCGGAGAGATTTTTTTTTAATAGCATGTCTATATTTTGGAAAATCGGAAATTCACTACAAATTCGATTTTGGTTTAGGACAAAACCACTTTTAGCAAAAATTATTGGATAATATTAAAATTTAAAATGTAATATATCTTACAGGTATTGGTAGAGGAATCAATGATTGGCAGGGACCACTTACCTGAAACATACAAAAAAGGTATATATAAATTTATGGTTATAAATGATTTGATTAAACGAAAAAAATATTTCAATTCATAAAAAAAAAAATAATATAAGTATTCATAACTAATCTGAAGTTGATAAAAAAGTTCTAATTATAAGTATATATGTATATGCATATAAAGAAACTAAAAATCCACATTGCTGGAACTTTATCAACTTTGATAACATCAGATTAATAATAAATACCATATATCGTACAAATATTCTATGTTTAACTATGAATTAAAAACGATGACGAGAATACCAGTTTAAGCAAACAGCTAAAAAATAAATAATAGCATGGCTATAGCTAACAATCTTATCATCTCTATGGCCGAATATAAAATTAAAAGGAAAATACTTAGCAAACAGAAGATTAGTAAGAAGATATTGCAGTAAAGAATGTGTGCAATGTAATATAGTGAGTAATGTAGCCTCATTCCATAGAAATTACAATTGCTTTCAATTTAAAGGGAATTCAAAGCATTTATCTTATTTGCATAGTGGGAATATTTCAGGCATTTTTCTCTCTAAATTTCTATTTTTGGATCAAGATGTCTGAGGAAATATAAACAAGCAATAAGGGAACATAATTGTGGACAATTCTATTCAGATAAATAAAAATTTATAATATGGGTGATAAATAGTCAGGACGCAGTCATTATACAATTTTTTTTATTTGTGTCAACGTTTCAACCCAAACATGTGGATCATCTTCAGTGTGTAGTTCGATCACTGAAGGCTTTCAGGTATGGTGCTTGAATTAGCGCAAAAAAAAAATGTGGTATGAACATCACGTGAAAATGGAGGAATGCTAATCCGAATCAATCATAAAAAACTTGGATGTGCAGATGATATAACTGTCTATGAAAGCAATCAAGAGGATTTGCTAAGACTCTGATAGAAGAAGCAGAGCAAATCGGTCTACAAATAAATGAAGATAAAACAAAATATACGACAATAATCCGAAAATGTCATCAAGCCTGCAGGATCTACGAAGAAAGGAAATCGTTCTCGAGAATTGGCAACTTAAATACCTCGACTCCATAATAACCTCAAAGGAAATATACCAGCTTACAATAAACGCAAACAGAGCTTTCTTCTCTCTTTCAAAGGTATTGGAATAAAGATAAAGCTAGTTCTAATAACGGCTGAGAGATGTGGACACTAACAAGTACCTTGGTAAGAAGTATGGAACGATTAAATAGAAAAACTTCCGAGTGATCTGAGATCAGTGTACTAACGCATGGAGAAAAGTACCAATAATGAGCTGCAAAAAAGAAACTGGGCAATCAATATCTCATGATAAGAAGATAATGAGGTTAAGACGGACGGGTTATGCAGTTTAAAGCATTCCATCAGGAAACCTCTACACATCAATGAATCCCTCAGTAGTAGGAAAGAGACCACTTGGAAGATCAAAAAGGTGAGGGATAGATCGAATCAACAAAGATGGAATAGAGATGCATGCAGATAACTGGAAAGAAATAGTCCGAGGTAGGAAAAGACGGAGAAGCCGGGCAAAACATCTACAAAGTCTATAATGCCAATGGAAAAAATAAATAAAACTAGAACCCTTGGATGATCTTGGGTTTAGTAAGTTGTAAGGAAGTGCTATTTTTAGATCACTGGTTTTACAAGAAGGAGGTATGACCGAGATCACTTTTAATGTACCATTATGTAATTATTTAATTATGACAACCCAGTTTATAGAAACTACGTGTGAACTAAGTGTGTCCCCAATCCCAGTTCGGATCCACGACTGATGTACATAATGAATAATACCAGCCACAAACATAAGGTTAAAACAGTAAGTGGACAACATACATCCTAAAAGAAATCTCGCTGATAACATCATAGATAATACTCCGACCTTGACTGACAAAGATCCATCGAGGATTTATTTTTTTAGCGGAAATCTGATTGTCATGATCCAATTAAAGCAGCAATGATTATAATAACCCTTTATTACTTTGTAATACCTTCTTTAATTTTTAATTAATCACTTCAAAAACCGGTTATTATAACCTAACCTCACTTACACATTCTGTATAAATTAGAACACGGTACAATCAGTCACGGTAAACTTTAAAATGCTTAAGTACCTATATTCTTAAGAAAGGTCTAGAATTCGGCCCCTACGTCTACCTCCAGACATACTCGTGCAATTGTGATCTTGCGCCCAGTCTACATATGGTCGGCCGATTTCAACATATGTAGTCGCTGACATAGTTCCAAAAAAATGTAAGCAATGTAATCCAGCAATAATAAATGATATGATAAGATTTTATTTTGTTTTTTGGCTCTGTTTCATCAATTAGTATTATAGGCGAAATAGTGTTGAATGTAGGTTAAAGTTGTTTTAATATTTTATAATTTTGGAGAAAAACATTACATATTTTTTATGGAATCGATTTGATCACTTGTTTCTAGTATTAATTCAATCCAATTCTAATAACTGATATATTTTGTCAAAAGTAAAAATATTCGTGATGGCATTAAGTGGTTCATCGCTTGTCATATCTGATTAGTAAAGTCTAGGTTTTTACAATCAAAATGAGACAGTAATTTATATTTTTTTTTTAATGAGTCACTAAAAGTAGAAATGATGTAACTATTAAAAATTAACGTGGTTAAATGGAAACAAACTATTTGGTAAAAAAAAAAAAAGTTATCTTTGGACCGAAAGATCATACGTTCACGAATAAAGTCATGTGAGAGTTTCAAATGCTCCAGTTAACCATAGTGTCGTTAAGAGTAGACATATACGGGGAATTTTGTGCGTTAGGTATAACTGCAGTAGTGTCAGTGGTTCATCTTATCGAATGGAATCGCTCCTAGCCGAACTGGAGTACACCATGCGGGAAAACGCGGCATTGGAAGAAATAGTACACCGCCTGGCAACCAAGATCCAACAAAGCCCTTACAAAGTAAGTACTTATCTTTCATAAAATTAACATATACAAACTAGCTGTGGGTTTGAAAATTATAACTATTAAAGCAATGAGACAGTAAACACATACTAAGTATCAGTTGTCCAGTGTCGGAGAGGCGGTTTCCTAAAGAAGTTCTTCTGTTCATAAGTTCGCTCGATGGAAAGATCACCAGCTGTTAAATTGAACATATTCCAATAATACGTAAGGCTTAACTTACACGAAATTATTACGAAAGCCAACTACTGATTTCAAAGACAGATATAGACGGTTAAATGAACAAAAAATAAAAATAAATACATAAAATCAAACGTTATTATTTATTTTCATCTTCCAGCAATGATCTTCACAAATAAAACAAGCCGCAGATTAATGAAAATGTTCAAGTCACCAATCATTTAAATTATTAATAAATTATAAAACAAACCTTAGTTAATGTAAACAATACCTTTATTATTATTTATTTATGTAAATGTTCGGGAGGTTTGAATGTAAGGTTTCATAACTTCTGTAACCTGGCAACACGACTAAAACACTACAGCTACTTCAACTTTCGTTAATTCCTGCGTTGGAAAGGCATGACAAATGTATTGTTATTGCACAAAATCCCGGCGTACGTCCTACTAGGAAGCTTCAATCCAGTGTTTTGCCAGTACAGTAAATTCAGTTTTATACTGGCATTCCATCGGCGTCTACATTTTGTAAGATGTGTTTCTTATAGAGAATTTGAGTAAACTGAACATAATTACACCACTGGTAGTGTTGCCCAAAAGCTACCTAACTGTTGCAAAACCAAGACCAGGACTGGTAAAAAAAAATCGATATTTTAAATAGAAATTAAGGCAAAATAGTTACTAATACTTGACTATCTTAGTTACAATAAATTAATAATTGGTATAACCAATAACTTTTGCATTTAATTGCTAATTTTTCGTACGGGCTTAGTAAGGTTTCTCCTATATAGAACATTACAGTAATATCTCTTCAGTAATAAGCTAATAAGACAGTTGCGAGATTCTTGCGCAAGACCAAGACCATGACCAAGACTGTGTTTGCAAGACCAAGACTCGTCTCGGTCTCGCGTTTGGGCAACACTAACCAATGGCGATCAATATGACGATTCTCCTTAATATCTTATTACGCTGCAGTTTGTTTTACATGAATCTCTTGGGATAGTTTAAACAATATTACAATGTTTACATTCTCCGCTAGCTCAGAATTCATAGAAACTCTTCCTTCTATTCCACTTATCAAGAGCCACATCCAATATCTTTTTTTTTTTCCGATCGAACATCCGGTGCAAGTGTCATTTCAATTTGACGATGGGCCAAGTTCTTATGATGATGCTATGAATGTAATTTTCGAGAATAGCCGAAGATTGAAGTGTCCAAAATCTCTCTTTATTTAGTTCGCGATTTATGACTTCGGCAAACTACCTCTAGGTCCTTTTCAGTTAAAATCGGAGCGTTGGTTATATTTAATTCGACTCCTGCTCGTTTCAAAGAAATAAACAAATCTCCAACGGGTTCTTTTCAGTTAAATTCGAGACTGTACAAATCTTCTCAGTCACTTCCGTCTTCTTTCCTTCATACTCAGCCATTCTACGTACGGCGTGAGATTTCGTGTCCACCCATCATATGACACTTGGACTGAAATGACACTTGGACGCTAGTATCAGACAACATATTTTAATTCTTCTGTTAAGAATATTTATCTAATCATTTTTCACAACATAGATGTAATGAACAGGTTTTAGAATAATAATAATAGAGGTAATAATGCCAAATAATAATCCTATTACCACTACCAGTTTTCAAAAAACAAAATCTTTTTCGAAAAATCACGTCATCGTACCTTCAATTTCAGATTGATAATTAGAAAGGACGAGATGTAGACTAAAAATAAGGTGAAAAAAAACTAAGGTGTTGTTCTATAGACTACATGATAGAAATGAAAACATAAGTAAGGCGAGATTAAGGCATGCCGCAAATTGAGCGCAGGGCAGGCGCAGCACAGGGAGAAACAGTATGTGCCTATTCCCGATTAAAACTAACAAGTTATTTAAATAAGTATTTATTATTTAGAGCTATATTATAAATAACTTGTTAGTTTTAATCGGGAATAGGCACTCGGCACGGGAATAAGCCACCGGTCCTGCGTCTGCCATGTGCTCAATTTGCGGCGGACCTAATAATATGAAATATAAATTATAAATAATAGCTCATAATAAAGAGGATGAAATGAACATTCTTCTCGCCCGAGTATGCAGTTCCGATTTTTATTTTTTGAGATATTTTAATCCATATCTTCAATAAAACTCGTTTTCATTTGGTTTTAGCCTCTCTGGCGTTGAGTTAAGATACAATTTTGAAATCAAGATACAATCTAATTCACTCTCAACAAAAAACAATGCAAAACGCGCCTAAGGAAATTTTTACTAAAAAAAAAATCTACTTTGTTCGCTATTCAAAACGTATAATCCTGATTGTCTGTAACCACTATTACATAATCCTATAAATAACAAAAAATAAAAGCCTCATAACTTGAAAAATAATAGGAACATATGTTAAATCAATAAATAAATCGATTTTTAAAATGTTAGGTTGTACGTATAACTTTTACTTGCGATCCTAGTATGAGTAGAAATTCATTTGTGATCAAAAAGAATAAATTAATATTTAATTATTTAAATTTACTATCGGGAATACAGTTATTAATCTAAAGGAAACTTATGAAAGTTGTAGTAAAATATATTCCTCCCCTCCCCTCTCCCCACCGTGAAAACTGCTTAAAATATTTTCAGCACCATACACTTCTTCACGTCTTCTCTCACAGAACCACAATGAATAGTTTTTTTATGTATTTTTTTTTTTTTTTATAATGGAAGTTTGTGAATTCTGTGCATAAAATGATTTCGGTTTTGAAGTGTTTTTTTTTTTCTAAAAGTACTTATTTGATTACCCTGGAAATATTCATTTTCCATTAAAGAATATAAAAGCAAAAGTTATTAGTTTTTGTTGCTCTCCATAAATTTTTACGACTTTAATTACATCAGATTAACAAAACTTTCCATTTGCGCGAAATAGCTATCGCTAATAACTATCTTACATACGAATTTCAACTATATTTGCAAACAAATTTTAATTTAACGAAACGTTGGCGAAATGTTCAATAAAAATAAATAAAAAATTGAAAGAAATAGGAGAAATAAGTCTGTTTTTCACTGGCCAGTGAATTAAATAGAATTGCATCCATTGTTTTCAAACCGACCGAGAATGACTTGGTTTGAATATATCTTCAAAGTAAAGATTATTTCATTTTAATATTATTTAGTGTTAACTGTAGACAAATTACAGACTGCTTTTGCTTCTGCAAAACAAGATCTTCATTAATAACAATTTCAAATTAAATCTTAAAATTATACCTATCTACAAAACAAAATCAGTTTTTATAGTTTTTAAATACAATAAAACACAATACTAAACACTTAATAATTTGAACTAATCGCAAACTGTACCATGTTTTTATATAATATCATGTGTTAAATGTATGTATTAAATAATTAACTTAAAGGTGGGGATTCGTTAAAACCTGAAGCTTCTTTACATATGTATGTATATTAAAGCGAAAAAAAAACTTAAGAAACCAATGTACATTAATATTGTTATAACAGGTCTAACCAAAACTACAATGAAAATTGAGTTGAAGCTGGAATGGAGTGCTATTAATTTTTATCCAAATTTTATAACCAATCAATCACCAAGAAAAAGAAACTTTTAATTCAAACCAAACTAGGTCTCATTCAAATGTCATTTAAAATAATATAATAATCATAAGAGAACCCTACACGATCAGTCATGCCATAAGGCTGACCAGGATTGCTTCAATCATGATGAACCCTACACGAATCAATCAGACTGCGGCCATTTCAGCTGAGTTGGCGTTGAGATAACCGGCAGTATGATACTGGTGTATTGTCCATTTATAATAATATGTTTCATTAAAAAGCCATATTTGACCATTGTACTTCATAACTTTGGACATCAAGACACTAGCGGATCTTTATTTTTGGGGATTTCATTTTGGAAGGGGAGAAGGAGGCTTCAGCCCGAAAGCTTTTTTTTCATATACATATAACGATAACCACTTTGGAAAAAAAAAAAAAGAAAGATACTAACTACCAATATGAAATGGCGTTGAAGTGATTTTTAAAGTTCTATTAATTGTAATTACACGAACAATAATACTTTAAGAGATAATGTTTTAATATTTTCTACGATAAAACGAGGTAACATTTTATCATTTTGGGAAGGGAGGGCTTCAGCCCGAAAGTCCTTCCCTCCTCGTAGATCCGCCTGTGCATCAAGATAAAAGTGAAGATATGATGATCACTTCCTAGACCATCAGTAGCTCAATATTAACCTTACATGATCAATCAGAATGTCAATAGTGCCTCCAAATGTCATTCCGACTGACCGGGTAGGGTCACCAATAGATCCTCTTATAAAAGGACCCATCCTGCAATATTATGAGGAACCCATTCTTAAGAGAACAGTTGGAATTCGATCGCATACGATGGCAAAAGAATCTCGAACATGCCTTTCAAGTTGATGATTGGGATTCCACACATTCCACCCACGTGAGGAGGTACAGCAGTGCACGTGCAGTCGGGGCTATTAGGACCCTAGGCCACTTCTCTCAGGTATCGATGTTCCTTTCTTTTTTTTTCTTTTTTTTTTTTTTGTGCTCCGAGTTCCTGGAAGCGGTAGGTCCAAAGCCCGCCTTTTCGGCTAATGGTCTTCTGGGGTTCCGGAGCTCGGAGATCTTTATCAGTCCCAGAAGAGGAGGAATCTTGGGCACTGTGCGAAAGATTCCAGTCACGGCCAGGCATCTAAACTGAGGTAGTGAGCCGAGATTATGCATCAGATTAGAACACGACCTTCAGGTCTGGGTTTACATAATGGATGTGATCCTTCCTATTTTTTTTATCGGAATTTCACAATCTCGGAAGCTAAAACCTTAAATTCATTCGGTAATTACTTGGAGTGCATCGGATATCAAACATATTAAAGGAATAACATCGTTAGTTGAAAGACCACTCCCTCTATCTTTTTCACAGCTAATAAATACCTATTATAATTAAATAATGCTAATCATAGAAGAATCAAACGTATTCTTTATTTTCATTGTTTATTTTTAAAAAGTTAATGTTTAGGAAATTTGTCCCTATCATTAAAACTTCGAAAAATACACAATCTATCAAAGGTCATTTACATGTCGTAAAATGGGGTAACTTTGGGACAGAGGATAAAATTTAGTTTGTGGTGATTCCGTGGTGGTTCAAAAAGTCTGCAAAAAACATTCTTTGTGCAGGCGTGTACTGCGCTACTACCTTGCGGCACACTACTCTTGAGGCACAAGCGAAAGTTTCATGAAAAAAGAGTGAAAAAAGAGAAAAAAGCAATGGAAATAAATAAAACCTAACTGCGCATCGAGTGTAGTGAACTAGGGTTCTCAAACTGCTCAAGGTAGTAGTAGTGAAGTACACGTTTTGCAGACTGAACCAACACAGTGTATCCACCACGGAATCACCATAAATTAAATTTTACCCGCTGTCCGGAAGTTACCCACTCAGTCCCAAAGTTACTCCATATTTCGGTAGAAAACTTTTTAAAAATTATTTTACGTATGTTTTAACACATTTATTTCACATGCCTCATTACCTACTTCGGATATCTATTACAAGGGTCTTAAATTTTTTCTACACATTGAGATCTTGACTAGATTCCGCGTGCCGCATTCAGTCCTCCATCAAAGTAACCACTTGTGATGAAAACAAATCTTGTTCTATAAATGACGCAACTGTGAAATGAACTTTCTGAGAGAGAAAAAAACATACAATACATGTTTTAGTAACCTCGTGTTCGAGTAATTTGCTAATTTACTTATTTTTAAGAAAGAAATCTAAACTTTATTATGTAATCAATGAAACTTTGGCGGGCCGAATTGAAGGTGCTTGTGGTCCGTAGTTTGTATACCCCTGATCTAACATATAATAAAATAATAGTTCTGGAACAATAGCGAATTTTTCTTTTAAATAGACTATTTTAATTTTTATTATGAACGATACTTCTGCCAAAATAAAGAGAAATGCGTAAAAACGCAAAAGGTTCCTAATCATATTACATCGAGATATATATAAATAATAACAAAAAAATTAGAACAAAAAAAATATTTATTAAAAAAAAATAGACATACTTCCTAAATATATAAAGTATACGGGAAAATAAAACATGTTATCATGTTATTACTATTACTGAAAAAAAATTCTGACAATGGGAACGAACCTCCAAAATGATAATTTAGACAACAAAATTTAAATACTGACAATATTTTAAGCTTTTAGTTAATCTAAGATTAATAATAGTAGACAAAAGACTTATCTGGAACATACATGCAAAATTAAAAAGACAGGAACTGACTAGACGATACAACCAACTCACATCTTCTGGACCACAGATCCTCACTTAACTTACGAAACAAGCTACTGATCTACAACACTATAATGAGACCAATTTGGACATACGGAGCAGAATTTTGGAGTTCTGCAAAACAAACACACATAAATAAAATACAAACAACACAATCGAAAATTCTACGAAAAATTTTCAACGCACCTTGGTACATTTCGAATAACACTATACACAACGACTTAAACAACCCAAAAGTAAAATCCTACATCCACAACAAATACAGTTCATTTCATTCTTCAATTATAAATCACATCAATCCATTAATCCTTTCTATTTCCTGCTCCCTGTTACCTGATCGACGCAGACTGAAAAGAAAATGGCCAAGGGACCTACTTCTACATTAACAACAAGGAAAAAAATAATAATAATCAAGCAAATTCGCAACAAATGGCTCGTACATCAGATTTGCTAGATGCGCTGCAGCGCAGGTGCAAAATGGTAAAATTCATAAAATGGTAAAATAAATAAATAATATAAAAATTGTCTAAAACATTCAGAAACATTAACTGGTTTTTTTCTGTCACCATCAATCAGATCAATCAAAGTTAGTTCCTTGAAATCTATTTTCGTTAAACTATTTATATAGAGATATTTTCTGGCTAGCAGAGGTGCATCTTCAAAGACAAGGACAATAACAATTTAAATAAAAATTATTAAAATTTTAAATTAGAGAAAAATATGAGATTGTGATTAATCGTACATAATCAATACTCTTAGTTTGATCCATCATGAAATAATAATAATAAAAAATGAGGTTTTTATTTATCCTAAGACGTCTTCCATGACCTCCACTGAACAGTTGTTAGATTTAAAGAAAACACCTCCGCCTATTTTCACCCTTCGTTATACCAAAAATTTGTTGTGATGTGGAACTAACATCAAGGTTTTCCCAACATTAAAATCGTGCATGAAATTTTTTTTTTCATCCACGTTTGCGTCAACCACTGCTCGTTTCCCAACTAAATAAAGGCTCTTGTACAACGAAAGTGATCCGTTGGTCTATATTCTGATTGTTACATATTGTGCATGTCGTAGATGTCAGAAGAAACCGCATGAAGAAATCAAAATTCGTTCGATATGGATGGTCACAACTTTTAATAAAAAAAAAAATAATAAAAAAAAGCTATATTAGACTCTTTTCTCTACTATTATGAAAAACATAGGCTGAATTTTTCCAATATTTTTGTAGGCCACCTTTTTTATCGATTTTGTGATCAATTTATCTTACGATCCAAATAGAAAGTAAATGGGTATTTACGAATCTTTAGTACCTAATTTTTAAGCTTATTTATTGAAAAATATTACAATCTGTCTCAAGGACATTTATAATAGTGTTCACAGATCACATTCACACTCTATGTACAGTAAATAAAATAAATTATCCAGAAAAATAATATATATACAATAAATCAGAATAAAATAATCTAAAAATAAATAAATAAAAAGAACACAGATATACCTATATACAATATTTACAATCTGGCGAGAGAACTCCAAACCAGACTTGTCCCTCCAACTGTGGAGGGAAAAGTATGACTCCAGGAGATCCCTGCACTTCTCTCTCAACCGCGTTACTGGGGGTACCTAATTAAAGAGACAAAGTTTGCCCCCCTCCAGATTGTAAGTTGTAGGTTACGATGAGATGAAACTATTTACGAAGTTTCAGGTGGATGTTAATAATTCGATAAAAAGGTGTCTGTACCACGGACTATACGGGAACAGACCTATAAAGGTTGAAATGTTTTAATAAATAAGCCATATAGATTCAGTTAAAAGATTTCGACCTCAACATGTCTCTCTTGTGTATGCTGTGTCAGTATGCTTCAGAAAGGTCTTCTGACCGCAGGTTTGATCCATGGGTGACGAAACAGAATCAATAATTTACCTGCCATCACCCGAATTCGAACCTGTGATGTTGAGCATTGGAAGTCAGCTCATTACCATTGAGCTACCCCATTCTCATTAATATATTACCACCTACAAAAGCTGGTTATCTGGTAACAACTGTATTAAATAGGATAATAGGATTTTCAATCATATATTTTGAACTATATTATGGATGCTTCGGTTCGACCCAAGATTGTGAGTCACCGTCACCGGAGGAATTTACTTGCCCTGATGATGACCCACAAGCTTTGTTTGAAACGAATATTTGTCATGAATCATTATTATTTTGAAACAATAAGGTCCAAACTACTGAGGGAAACCGGACTCCATATCGTCACGGAGGACGATTTTCCTCAGCTAGTAAGCCTATTTATGACCGCAACCTCGGACCATCTCCTTCCTTTATAAATAATTTTAAAAAAATTAAAAATCATTGTTATACAGTTTTTTTTTTTTTTAATGTCACGAAAAATGGGTCTTAAACGCAGAGGAAAATGGTTATGAGAAGAGAAAGACAAGGATACTTATTGACGAGTAATGGGATGGAAAGTAGTGTCCATGCCAAACCTTAAGGTTCAAAGAGAAAGGACAAGGAGGTTTAAGCCCTGAAAGAAATTGGATTCAAAATAGTGAAAGTAGGATAAGCTATGCTTCTAATATTGCCCCGGACAACTGCATAGCTATCTCTCTATTAATATCTAATATATAATTTCAATGAATCATAACAGGTTGGCGCAATAACTTTCTACTTCAAAGATGGAATACTATGAGTAATATTGTATATATATATCCATAGAATTAAAAATGAAAAAATAAAGTATATTCAATACCAAACATTATTTCATCTTATTGAGTAACAAACAGCTGTGAAGACCGTTATTGTAGCCTATAACAATGTCATTACCTACTTTAAAAAAACAATAAGGTATCCGAAAACAATAAGAGGGACAGTAAACAATCCGTGTTATTGTGCTTATGTCTAGAGGCACTCGAACGGCACCTGTATGGTAATGCCCGGCAAACATGGAACGACACACACATGCAGTTGGCATAACTGAAGGTTTGTATATGATAAGCCATCAACAGCATGTATGTTTTCTAAACATTATTGTTTCGACTCGCGGGCATCGATGTTGTAACATCAATATTTTGCCAAAATATAAATACCCATGTTTAGGTTTTGATGTAGGCCATTTCCTCACTCAGCAGTTTACCAAACCTTTTCAGCTATACAAATCAGAGAGAAAGGGAAGTTTTTTATTGTGTAAAAAATACATTTCTGCAGAAATATTTAAGAAAAAATGCAAAGAAAAGTTATACCTGTCGTAGAAACAAATTGTAGGGTGCGATATTTGTTTCAATATATATATTTTCGTTTTACTCTCATTCAGTCAATTAAATTAATTAATATTAAGTGACAATAATTTATTTTCTTTTTTTTTTACTTAACTCCTATTAAATCATACTTTGAATGAATTATTACATTTGATAATTTATTTTTTGTGTAGAACGCCTTTTACTGTAACTGTG